CTTTAACCTAATGCAGGCAGTTGAGTAATTCAATAAAGGGGACCGAAGATCAAAAATTCAGAGGGAAATAGATTTGGATATCATCTGCATAGCAATGGAAGGATATTTATGGTTTCTAAAAATTTGTCCTAGGGGTAACAGATACAGAGAGAACAGCGAAGGACTTAACACAGACCCCTGGGGCACAAGGGGTGCAGTGGAGGAAGAATAATTCCCAACCACAACGGTTGACCACCGTATCGAAGGCGGAAGTCAAGTCTAGCAGAACTAAAACCACAGGACGGCCTGCATCAACAGTTACAATGAGGTCATCAAAAATTCTAAGTATGACTGTGTCTGTGCTGTCGTGAGGTTTGAAACCGGACTGGAATTTTTCATTGATTCCATTTGTCTCCAAGAAGGATTGTAATTGCTTAAGAACTATTTTTTCTAAGATTTTGGACATAAAAGGAAGTTTAGAGACCGGTCTGTAGTTTGAAAGGACATTAGGATCGAGATTACTTTTCTTAATAACAGGTTGCGCGATTGCATGTTTGAAAGCAACAGGGACACAGCCTGATAAGAGTGATAAATTCATTAGAAGTAAGATGCAGGGTCCAATAGTGTTCAGGGCATTCTTGATAATGTGAGAGGGAAGCAAATCATGACGGGAATTAGAGCTTTTCAGTTGGCCTCCTTAAGGGTCGGAAAAGATACAGGTTCAAACTGTTGAAAGACCGTTGAGAGTTCAGAAGTTGAAGATTGGTCTACAACGAGTAAATATGAAGATCTTAGTCCTGAAATTTTATCTAAAAAGTAGTTAGGAAATTTTTCACAAAGGGCTTGAGAGTCTCAGTCTGAATGATGGAGAGTGGATTTATCAGAGAGTTAAAAATCCAAAAGAGAACCTGTGGCTTATGACTGTTAGACGCAATGATGCCCGATAGGAAAGAGTTTTTTGTGGTTCTAACAGCCTTCTGATATTCCTCACGGCAGTTATGAACAACATCCAAGGAGATCTGAAGTTTGTCCTTCTTCCATCTCCTCTCAGCTCGGCGACATTCACGTCTGAGAGAACGGGTGCAGTCATTCAGCCATGGTTGACGGGACAGTTTGAAACATTTAGTTTATAAGGGGGCCACAGTGTCTATAGAGGCAAAAGTGGCAATAAAAGAGTTAACAAGTTCGTTAACCGGTGCAGCTTTATTACAGTTAGCATCATAGAAGGCAGAGTTAGTCAGGGCCGTAGAGAACTGGGCAATAGCCTCCGAATTAATCATACACACATTTTGCATAAGGCCCTCATATTTCAGCTCCACATTACATACTTTGACATTGACCATAACTGGTAAATGGTTAGAAATCCCAGGGTTGTAGATGTCCGTGATGCAAATGTCCAGGTCGTATGACAGTACCAAGTAAAGCGTGTGGCCTTTAATATGAGTTGGTTTGCTGACCCACTGAGTGAGGTTAAAGGAGTCAATGAGGGCAAGAAAGTCCTTGACCAGCGGGTCCAGCTCACAACAAACATGGATATTAAAATCACCAGTGATAAGAATATAGAATAGCTTACAGAGAAGTTTCCTAAAAAATCAGCGAACTCACAAATAAAATCCTTACTGAATTTTGGTGGCTGATACACCACAGCACAGAGAATCGGAGGGGAACAGCCCAGCTCCAGTAGTTGCACCTCAAAGCTAGAGGATATGGCAGGAGGCCACTGTTATACTCGGAATTTGTTTTTAAAACCATGACTAGCCCTCCACCTCTACCTCAGCCCAGTCAAATGAAGATGTTCACACAACATGGCAAAACTGCAACTGAGACTTGACATCACACAGATGCTCACAGACACAGATTTATAGTAAATGATGTCAGATGGTTTGAGCATGAACTGAGACTGCAGTTTAGGAAAGGCCTCGGTGGGGACTGTCACCAAACTGAGAACAAATGGCTTGTAGTGCTTGCAGGGCAGACAGAGAACCTGAAGGGCCGTGCAACAAGGAGTGGGCTCACTTCCTAAATTCAGATAAATTCTTTCCAAGTAATACATGCTTGGCACTGGTAATGTTATTAGAAAACAAAGCAAACAGTTGTATTCCTATATGCAAATGATACTCAGTTGTGTTTATCCATGAGGTCAGATCAAATTAAATAGTTAAACTATAGACACAGCTTGAAAACATAAAGGTCTGGATCACCACTATGTTTCTGTCTCTTAATTCAGACTAAACTAAAGAATCTGACTTGGCCAGGATATGCTCTTTAACAGTGATTAAACTGCTTCCCTGTCATATGAAAAAAGGTCCCAAAGCCAGAATTAAAATAATTTGACTATGCAAGCTCCATCATGTCTTAAATTCTGTCAGAGTGCAGGCTTACTTGTGGCTCCTGGAGTTTCCAAAAAAAAAAAGTAAGAAATGCCATCATCTATCAGGCTCCTCTGTTGTGAAGCCAGCTCTCAGCAAGACCTGAATTTACAATATACAAAACCTAAAGATAAACTTTGTGAAGCAGCATGATTGTAGGGTCTACCCTAAAATATAAAGCGCCTAGAGGTTTGGCGCTGTAGAAATAAAATTGAATTGAACTTAAGTGAATTTAAATTCATCTGAAAATTAAAATGCAATTAATAGAAAATTAAAGCTGGGCTGAAAATTTGTTAAGCTTCACCCTTTATGAATATTGGTAGATGTGTCAAGGTAAATGATTCTGATTCTTTCCGATATTCATCTTCATCTGGAAGCAGTTTTCTGTCATAAGAAGCATGTCCATTTTCTTTGATTTCCATATGAGTTATGTGATTTGTATAATTAAGTGTGATGAGTAATTAAGAATGCTATTATTCACAATATAGAAAGCATTTTCAGGTTTTTTTGTAATTTCATCAGGGAACCATGTTTTTTTTCTCTCTTGACATCTGTCCTGCATGATCCAGAGGAGTGGGAGAAACCACACAGCTTTTACCCTGCTCACTTCCTGGACAAAGAGAAGAAGTTTGTCAAGTGAGATGCATTCATTCCCTTTTCTGCAGGTTTGTGAGCTCAACTATCACTGTTTAGGTTACATTGATGAAAGTAGTTCTCTCTTGCAGGTCGCAGGATTTGTCTTGGAGAGAGTCTGGCCAGGATGGAGCTCTTCCTCTTCTTTACCACCCTCCATTTCCGTTTCACTCTTGCACCTGGAGTTTCAGAGAATGAATTAGATCTGACTCCAGCTGTGGGTTTCACTCTCAGCCCTTCACCTCACAAACTGTGTGCTGTCTTTGATTGACAATAAAAGCAGAATGTTTTGATCACTTAAAAATGCTACATCAGCACATGTATCATTTTCTCACTTGCTCTTAAAGATAATAATAATAATAAATGTTATTTATAAAGCACCTTTCAAGACACCCAAGGACACTGTACAATAGATGAAAACACATAATAGAACAATGGCAAAAGCACAAGATAAAATTAACAAACAGTGGGTTCACAGTGAATGAGCAGATTTGAACAGATGGGTTTTGAGTTGAGATTTTAACTGGGGGAGAAAACCAATGTTTCTTATATCTGGGGGTAGAGCGTTCCACAGCCTGGGAGCAATGTTCCCTCTAATTTTTCATGTGTATGAGCGAACACACAAACTCCTTGAACGGTCCCTTGGACAACTGTGAGCAACAGCAGACATGTGCACTGTGGTCAGACCAGCATCGAATCCATCCAAGTTACATGGTTTATTAATCAAATTACAGCATTTACATTTATGTTAGACTACTTTTAATTAACTGCTTTAGTCTACTTACAATGAAAATTTAAAAAAAATCTTGTTCATGACCTGTGTAGTATGTTAATGCTATTGGAAGTAAAAATAACTTGAACTCCAATTTTGAAAACAAAACTTTCTTTTCTTTTTTCTTTTTTTTTTTATAAAGCTCTGACTTGTATTATGAGTCTGAGTCTGTGGTCTGGGAGAGAGTCCTGTAACTCTCTGTCTGCAAAATACAGTATAGAATGACCAATGCTGGGCAATTAATTATATAGTTACTTCTTCAAAAAAGTAACCGAGTTATGCAAACAACAAAGTTTTTTGCAGCTGTTTACCTAAAAATGCAGCCAGGGCATTTTTTTTTCTAAATAAACATTTCAAACTATTTACAGAACAATCAGCTCTTCTGCATCAAATTTGATGCCACACAAATTATTTCTACAACTCCAAAAAATAATTTCTGTCCACTATGAGATAAAGGATAAAGGACTATTCATAAAATCAAAAATACTAAAATTCACACATCTGGTTTATTTTCTTACTGCACAATTTTGTATAAAGCAATAAACAACCTATTTCTTGACAATATTCTAAAATTGTTTTCAAAAGGGGAACAGAGATTCAATTTAGGGGGGAAATTAAATTTAAAAAAAAAAACATTATTTTATCTGTACAACAATAAAATGTTTTTGCACCTCTGTCTGTGGAGTGAAGCTGTGGAATAGACTAAGTGAAGAACTGAAGCAATGTCTCAGCATGACTCAGTTTTAAAAACATGGTTTTTGCAAAGTACAGGGAGGAGCTAGGGCTCTAATTGGGTGTTCTCACCCACTATTTTCACAATAGCGTGATGTATATATGTGTGTGGGTTCAGAAGTATGTCTATAAAAGTATATATATATATATATATATATGGTTTTTTTTGTTTTTGTTTTTGTTTTTTTTTCACAATGAAAATTCTCAAAACCATTAGTGCAACCTCCATAACATTTAGTCATTTCTGCACATCATAGTAACATCTGCAACCATAGTAACATCTTACGGTTGCAGCTGAGCTTGTGGTTGTACATAGAAATGTCCTTCTAGTTGCTTCAGATCGAAGTACAATTTTAATATTTGCATATTTGCACAGTCCAAAGTACCAGTTTGTTCACAGTAATGGTTTACTAGGTCATTCATATGGAACCTTTCTACTAAATCATCCCACCCCCTAGTACTTATTGTCTAGATTGGGCACCAAAGAAAAAATCTAGTTTAGTACCAAATGCAGAGTCAGAGAGTGTCTCTGTAAAAAGAACTCTCAGTGGATATTTGGTTTGAAAGCCATGGGGATATTAGATGTTTTTCTCCATTGCTTCAGTTACACATTCTTGTTGGGGGCTTTCACAGTTGTCCTGTTCATGTATTTAATCTCCCCTTCCAGTTTCAGTACCAAAAAACATGGTAAGGAGCCTCCAGGACCCAGACCACTCCCCTTGCTTGGGAACCTGCATCTGGATCTGAAAAAACCCTACAACACATTACTGGAGGTGAGGTAGTTTTTGTATTATTTTTCTTTCAGGGTGTTTTGTAGATTCAGCTCACCAGGTAACACATTTGCCTTTGTTTTTCTGTTCCTAGTTATCTAAGAAATATGGATCAGTCTTTACTGTCTATCTGGGACCCAAAAAAGTGGTGGTCCTGGCAGGATACAAGACAGTGAAGGAGGCACTTGTCGACTATGATGATGTGTTTGGTGACAGAAATCCACTGGAGATCATACGTGAACTCACTCAATCACATGGTGTGGAAAATGACTATTATGTAGGGTTGCTATTTTTTTAACTATGAAATAAGAGACACTCTGTTATGTCAGAAACACAATGCACAACCCTCTGGACATAGTGTAAATGCAGTGTATGTGACATTACAAGTAATGGTCAATATATGTGACATTTTAGGTAGACTAAAGGACGAATCAGTTGGCAACCCTAATATTATGCTACCATAAATGTATTTTTTCACACAGTTACACTTTGAGCTTAATCTATTCTTAGGTAAACTACTTTTGTGGTCCAATGGCGATTCATGGAAAGAAATGAGGCGCTTTGCACTGACTAACCTGAGAGACTTTGGGATGGGCAAGAGAGCATGTGAGGACAAAATAATTGAAGA